AAAGACAAAGCGCGGGTGGGGGGGGGGGGGGCAACCAGGGACCACCTGGTACCCACAGCAGGAGAGGAAGTTGTGGGGTGCTCAGGGGGGAGGGAGAGGTGTCAAAACCAGCCAGCAGTACACAGCAAACCTCTGCCCGGAGGCATCAGCATAATGTCACTCATTCATCATTGTAATAGAGATTTAATTGGAGCATCCATCCAACACATACAACCATGCTGCGCCCACAAATACATTCTTGTAGATCACACTGGGCTCTGGTGAAAATTTGGCCTTGGGGATGTATTGTGGGGTCGTTTGAAAATAGTTCCTGTTATGTAGAAATGCAAAGCACAAACCATTTACTTCCATATTAAAACCAGCATTTACTTCGCTCTGACTTCCCACAATTACGCAACACAGCTGCCAGTAGTGAGCATTGTACACCAGTCCCAAAAGTCCCAGACCTAACTTTATGAACTGTATTATGATGAAAACGCCCTCATGAATCAGCAAAACGTTCTGATGTATACAGCCTTGTCATGGCAGTCTTTCTGAATGAGAGGTAACAGTTCCCCCTCCAGGCTCGACATATCAAAGCATTTCCCCCAGTCTAATTACCCTATCATGGCCCTGGTAGGTGCAAGCTGGTGAACTGGAACAAAGCCAAGCCTCATATATCAGGGCAGCTTTAAGAGATGGCCCAGATAACACTGAACCACTGTAGCTGCAATCAGATCCTCCAGGAGCATGCAATCATTTAGCCCTGATGCGCTGTGATTCTCAGAAGGACAGGGTGCTGCTGAGAACCCCATTTAACGAGGTTTATCCTCTCTATAAAGGCACATGTGTGACCTGAGACCCAAACAAACTGTTAGAAACCTTCGGTTAATTTGGCTCAATGTGAGCCATTAAAACGTAGTTTGCTTGGATTAATGTTTAACTTTTCTAACAGGCTCTTTCTGGCACGTCTCCCAGTTTGTTGCACAGGAAGATGGTTGCAGTTGGAGCAGGAGCCAATACATCTGATGCTTAATCAACCAGCTGTTTATCATTTTTCTAGAAAAGAATGCCAAAGTTTGATAGTTTCCAGTTCTCAAATGTGATGAATTTGCCATCTTCTTTAGCTTTACATGAAAGGAAACTGAATATTTTAGGAACCACTGGTCAGAGGAATAGTGGACATCTGCTGTCACTTTGCTTTAGGACGATTCTTTGGGGCATTCCTCACCGTTTTATCTAGCAACTGATCAAAACAATAATCAGCTATTTAAGTGATAATGACAAATGTTACTTTCATCCCTGGTGGTATGTCAGATAAAACCTCATGAACCTTATTTTTACAGTGTGAACCTGTACTGCAGCAGGTGCTGCTGTAGTATATCAGAGTGGCCCCTGACCATTCAGAACTGGTCCCCAGGCCTGTGTACATGAAACGGTCCACATTTTAAATAAGGCTCGGTGTTTAGGCACTGAAGAAACACTCAACATTCAACTGGAAGAACAAATAAACACTCACCGGCCACGCGAACTGGAAGGGGATCCGAATCCTGCCAGCGTCGCTGATTTTATTCGGGTTATTCTTTGCGCTCTTAAAAGAAAATGTATTTCCACCGAGAACTCGAGTAGAACCAGTTCCAAACGTGCACGTGCCGGTGGCGGTGACCTCCATCTGGTACTCCTTCAGGCAGACTTTGAAGTAAGTGTCGCACTCGTCTCGGGTGCAGCGCAGGTCCTGGGAGCTCCGGGAGCCGTCGCAGCACTCTCCGTCCGCCAACTCGCCGTTTACATTCTCCACGGAGATCAGCTGCAGCTCGAAATAGCCGGTTGACTGGGACACCTAGAAACAACATGTTAAGAAAGAGGGCAAAAAAGATAAATAGGCCACAGTGTAATTTATGCGGCCTAAATCGGTGTGTAAAGATAAACAGGCTGCTGTATAGTAGGTGACTCAATTAAAAGCTAATAATGAGCCAAAGAAGATGGGGGTGGATCTGCCCAAATAATCTGTTGCCTCATGAATGGAGCATGTGAACAGCCTACACTTTGCAGACTGGTTTAAATCAATTAGGTTACGGGAGACCAGAACAAATTAACTGCTCCCTGCAGCCAATTGGTCCAATGCAACTTGCAGCTTGTTTGGTTCAGGCCACCTTCTCTAAACAAACAAACAAAAACGGGAAGCGAACAGAACTCGGCATTGAAACCAAAATGGAGAGGACGCCTGTATCAATTTCTCAGACTTCAATTTTGTCATGGTAACACGATCACATGCTCCACAGCTAACGGCTACGTAATTCAATTATCGATTGGCGTGATGCGAATACGCAGCGCCGGACGGCAAATACATCTGCTCACGCCCACCAACTTTTGACAATGCTCATTTTACAACATTTAAATTTTACAACATTTAATTTATTTATGAATTTATAGATGAGTAAAATAAGAGCATCTTACCCCCGTCCATAACGTCAACAGCAGGCACACTATTGGGAAGCAATGCGTAATCCTGGTGCGATCCCACATGCCTCCGATTAATTAGAGTGACATGGGGGAAGCGAGAGAAGCGATCAGAAAAGACAAACAGCCGTGGACCCGGCCACTAGTACCTCCTCTGCTGACATGCAAAAATAAAATCTTCACATGCGTGTTCTCTCCACCGTGTACGTCCAGAATTCAGCGAGGCATTGCAGGCGTGTGCGAGCAGGAGGCGGATTGCAGCGCAGTGATGGTCCCTGCGCGAGAGCGTCCCTCCGTCAAATCTCTCCACACGGTAACTGAGAGGCTTCGTAGCCACAGCCTGAGGAGAGGATGTCTGCGCTGATTGGCAGGCCCCCCAGTTTCTATTGAGCCTCATTTGGACAAACCGCATTACAGCGTGCAAACAAAGCAGGGGTCGACATTAATTAAACACACCCGCAAAGATGTAATAATGAGTAGGGGTATTATGTAAGACGTGGATTTGATCGGACTGAATTGAATTAGAGTCCTTATTGGGCACAGACACACATTTGAATGATGATTGCTTTCTGGCATCTGGCGTCAGTTCATTCAAGGCATTTAAATATAATTGGTCACCAAGACTTTGAAAACAGTCGTGCACAAATGCTTGGCATCAAAGTGGACTAATTACTGGTCGATTATGGTAATGTGATTATAGTTTACATCTAATTAACACGGCGTATTGGTTCAGAATGTCTTTGTTTTATATTAATATGCGCATAAAAATATAGTGTCCTGTTATTTCCATTCTTAATCTAGTTGTCTTTAATTATAATGGTGCTTAAAATTCGAGATTTAGCTTAAACTCATGTGATAGAAAGATTCATATTAATTTATTTAAGGTGTTTTACTAATCTGCTTCTTCGGAATGATTGGCTATTAAAAGTAAAACAACACAGTCCTCTCAGACAACCAAGGGTCTCTACTCGGATCAGCAGAACACATTGCAGTAGTTTGGAGCGCCCTCTACTGTCTGCACATCTGTCCCCACTTAGCCTGATTCCTCTGAAACCTGGCAAAAAGAAAACATGAAATATGCAAAATTAGAAATGCTGTAATGTCACACATTTATGATGTTTATGTCATGATTCCTTAAGACTCTGAATCCTTCTCGATTTGGATCAAATCATTTTTACATGTATTCAGTTTTTATATTTGTTTATATATGTCGTGTTCATGTTTTCTCTGCTTTGTCCTGTTACTATTTTCCCAATATTAATATAATGTTCCTCTGGCTTTTTCTACCCTCAGAATGGTGGCACATAGTATAAATTCATACTGCATTTCTTGCTGTAGCTGGCTTGATCTCAGCTCCTTCTCTCTATCCCCACACACTGTAAATACAAAAAATACTGTATGCACACAGAGACAGATGGAATAGATGGAAAGCAATGGCTGCCTGAAGGGGAAGGCAAACACACTCAAAAATCTAAAACCCTCAAAATGGTTATGTATAATGTATTTGTACATGGTGTGAAATCTGTATGGATATGGCTAAAATGCCTTATATTATACGTGGACATAGTACTGAGACTACATAATCCTTGTGTTTAATAATAAGCTACTGTGCCAAAATATTTTGTCCTTCATGCACTAAATATTGCTTGACTGTGACCCAATGAACAGTGGCCACACCTTGCGCAAGTGCAATTATTTCCTTAACATCATAATGAAAGACAGAAGCTCAATTTAATATCAGGCTGCATATGGAGATGAGGAGCTGCTACAATAGTTTGACTTAACTGGGGTTTTTTTTTTTTACTGCAAATGATATGAACTGCAGAGACGGAAGATGTTTGAAGGTCATTAAAGGAAGCTTATGATATTTTAAAACCAGCCTCATAGTCGTATATTAGGCTAAAACACCTACCTATTAGCCAGATATTACACTTGTTAATGTGCCACACTGCAGCTTCACACTGGCCAAAGATAGTGGCCACTATACAGCACGGGCCAGAACTGTGACAATAAGACCACAGCCCTTTGAAAACAAGAGCGGAGCTGCCAATCAAAGTGCATGTGACAGCAGCCGCCCCCCCCCTCCCATGTCTCCTTCTCATCAAGCGACTGCCAGCTGGTCAGATAGGCCTTGAAGGAGGCTGACGATAGCCTGAGCCGCTGCAGCCGCTTTGACTGGAACAGTTCACATACTGTCACAAGTACATGAGTGCCTTAAGTTAGATCACACCTAGTAAAGGGCCTCAGTGGCAAAGGAACAGTGTGTAAGAGTGTGTTTGTGCCTTTGACCAGTATGGGATTTCATCCACTCTAGTGAAGTGGCTGATGGGCTGGCAGTGTTTGTTGGTCAGTCACTCTGTCCACTGTTTTGGTCCAAAATATCTCAACAGCCACTGGATGAACTTCATATATCCATGACTGCCAGAGGATGAATCTTAATGCCTTTGTTTCCTCCGTCTTTTTTTTAAATCTAATTCCAACATGACATTGACATTTGTGGTTTTTAATGTCATAAAATACTAATATTAGTCTAATATGGTGCTAAACTGCACTATGTCTTCAATACTACCATATGGCCTTGTGCCTACCTTGTCTTCCTGTTTGCATACACCACATGCACAGAGAGAGGAGTGTGTGTGCAGGAGGAGAAGGGATTATGAGTGGGAGCGCTGTGGGGGGGTTTGCCAGCCTCCAGGGGGGAGGTGAAGTGGATTTCTTCCCTCATCCATTTTTTATAGCTTTTGTCCTTTCAGATCTCCAGTCTCTGTTCATACACCTGACGGGTCGATTCTCTTTTATCTTTGAGCATCTTTTGGGGAATCTGTGTGTGTTTGGGGAGGGGGAAGGGTGATGGTGGCAGCATGGGCCATGGTTGAGACATGCTGCTTTTCATCAGGCTTTAACAACCATCTCACCACAGCAGCAACTAAGACAAGGCTCATTTTGGGTTTTAATTGGGGTAGGTAAGTCACAAAATAGGGATTCTAAACATTGTGTGAAGACATTGTCAATCTGTGTGTTTTCTACTTTGCAGATAGAATGTATGAATGCGATTTAAGTTAGAGGCCAGTCCACATGGACCATGCACAGTTTAAACAGTGCTGTTTAATAGCAGTGTATTTCCCTTCTGGATTAATAAAAAAAAAACATGTCTTTTAAATCAGCTTTGAATAAGTAATGATCTTGGTTAGTGACCTCCAAGGTCCAGCATCACTGACCAAACATGTCTCCTAGCCTCCCCTTGAGCTACAGAGGCCTTTTCTTTAGAGGAGTGGAAATTATTCAACACAAAGCTCTGAATTCATGCTCTAATGATAATCATCATGCAAAGCACCAAAATATTAATACTGCTTTGAAGGGGGACTACGCAGTGGAAAACAAAGCACCTGGTCCCAAAAGCGAGTAAAGTATAGTCGAGTTGAGCTTGTACCAGGCGATGGAAGAGGGGCTTTAAGCAGCACAAGATATGACAACAAATGTGCTGCAGCTGTGTGGACAGAAGGAAGGTGGGCTACAGAAATAACAGGAGATCAAAAGTCATTTCTTAAGCCTGTCTCCACCTCTAATTTACAGGAAAATGATCCCAATGCTTACTGCTTGAGGAGAATCTGGGTTATTATTATTTATTCCACAGTTATGTTCAGCAGCCCTCTCCTTAAGTCCTGTTTAGTCCTGCCAACATAAAACATCCACAGGGACATAGACAACAAAAGAGGTGTTGAAATGAATGAATCCATTCATAACATTTATCGTGTTATCTTGTCCATGACAAAATGTGTTGGTGTCAACCAGTGATTGTAGATAAAGTGAAAGGGAACACGGGGAGTGCAAGTGAAGCCAATGGCCAGAAGTGAACCAGAGGATGATATGGTTATCTGTCTTCTGAGCTTTTAATAAACCCAGACACTGGGCATCCCTAGTTCAGATAAAAGCATACTTTCTCCCCCAGAGGAACCATGTTTGCATACTTTGCATGAAAATAATGGGAGACAGTTAAAGTTGTGTTTATCTTCGAAAGAATTTCCTACCCATAGTTTAAACTTAAGGGGAAAGAAAAGGGAAACTGGCTGAGGAATGTAGCGTTTCCAGCACACTGACTAATAGAAACTATAACAGTGGAGTGTACCGCCTGAAAAATGAATAAACTATCATAGCCCAGCAGGCAAATTTAAAGTGTCTGGGGTAGCCATACAGCTAACTGCAACCTGATCACCAGGTCATATCCTTCCACCAACCCCGGTCTGTTTCCATGTGTGAAGCTCTGAACCAGCTGTAATACAGCAGACTCAGGAGTGTGGCTGGTGGGCTACAGCTCATCAGCAAGGGAAACTATTATAAATGTGGCTATTTAGTACGCTATAGCACCAGCTGAAATGCAAAATGCCGACTAAACCACTTGAATCTCAATCCTATTTTATGCTGAATATCCCATGTCAAAAATACAATCTCACAAGTTCCCTTAGGACATTTTCACACAGTTGACCACTTGTTACCATTTTACCTGCCTTCTTTGACAAATACAAACAATACAAGCACCAATTTAAAAGCTCAAATGAGACTAACATCATCCAACCTTTCAGTAAACAAGGCCCTGGTGCCTCAATGATTTTGTCCTTTCTCTTGGTTCACTGAGCATCAAGTGTGAGAAAAGCCTTTCTGCTGCATTAGCACGTTCTGCTCCGCTAGTAGTACTGTATGTATTCATGTTTCTCATGGCCAGAGCTCAGGTTTCATAAGTGCCAGCATGTGTGACATATTGAACAAAAAAGAGGCATTTGCAAACTAACTAGAAACACGTAGTTTGGTCTCAATAACATTCTGTTAACAGGGAAACAGTCACACCAGCCTACACATACAGACACACAGAAAAATTTTTCAGAACAATTTTCTACACAAAAACTTCAGCTACAACATTAACCAGTCAGGCAAGTTAATGCCACTTCATAGTAAATCTTGATATTCCTGTTCATACTTTGGAACTGATCCCGCTGTCCTCACGTAGCCTTTTAGATATTGAGACATAACAACAATTAAATGGTTCAGAACGGCCTTTTATTTTGTATCGTCTCTGTGTGGGAATTGCAACCCTATGCTCTGTTTATAGTTAGTTAAAATTCATAATTGTCTCTAACACTGAACAGGAGTTTGAGATGGAAAGAGCCGCATCCTAAAGGCCCCTGAACCTAAGTGATAGTTTTTTGCTTCCTCTCCTCCACTATCACAAATCTGTAAGCTATGAAGCTAAGAGTACCTACAGTAAATGCAACCTGTCCTACTAGAAATATGTGATTAAGAGACATGAATAAAGACAATATAATGCATGTTTTTCAGATTTCTTTTCTGTCAGAGTT